GGAGTTCACCTCGTGGGGTCCTGGGCAGCCGGACGGCACTAGCGGCAGTGAAGATTGCGTCACCTGGGCGCACGTTGGTGGGCAAAGCTCGTGGAACGACTACGAATGCCTGCATGATTTCCTCTTCGTGTGCCAGGTTGTTCCAGGTATTTATGTGAACATTTTTTGCGAAATCTTCTGACTTTTTGACAATACAAACATCGATGTACCTAATAATAGATGCACATTAGATACATGTATTTAATTTAAACTCTAACGATTCTAATTTCATTATTTACAGGACATACCACTACCTAAAGTCAACCCCTGTCCATAATAGAAACCAGTTCTCTGACGAGGTTTAGTAACAGATGAAAGCTATTCATTATTATTAATAAGCTATCAATTTATTATCAATAAGCATTGTTTTAAAAAATCGAATAGTTTACATGAGTTCGATATCTACATATATTTACGTATTTATCTTACAGCATTCAATGCATAATTATTTTAATTACCTACCACTGTACTGCGTTAGTAAAAATATATAGAAACAGTTAGAATTGCCCTGATAAAGATGACAGGCGGTCATCGAAACGTCGGCTCGTGAAAAATAAATGGTTGTGATCAAAGAACTTTGCTATTCATTCGTTTACCAACCTGATGAAATTATTTACGGATATATAGAACAGTTCGTGAAACTAATAAAGATACTTATTAAAGATGAATGTAAGTCTGTCACATCATTATCATTCTACAAGTTCTGCACTACTTATTTTTTTGTGCTACATATTCTTACTGCCTTACGTAACAAACGGTCCACGTTGTCATTGTAATGGTCCTGTAACGGACAAACAAAAGTAGGTCGTTTTTTTTTTTTTTAATTTTTTTTATTCCAACATGTAATCACCAGACGTGGTGACGACACACTCAAGTTTTTTCAACTTATATTAATGCCGCCACCAACACAGGGGACAAATACATGACAGGACAATACTCATTTACACCTGAGCTGAGTGAGGAAAGTCGTGTAAAGTGCCTTTCCCAAGGGCACAAGATCGGTGGCATGTCAGGACTCGAACCCGGGACTCTAAGTTCCGAGTCGCGCACTCTGCCACTACGCCACACGACCCCACGACCGTAGGTCGGTTTGACGTACGTGGTTGCCATAGAAACGTTAACGTCATTCTGGACAGGTGGCATAAATAGTCAGCTGGGTTTTTCAATCACAGCATTGGTCATAAAACCCCTTATAAACCCCTTTCTTTGATATGTGAGACTCCTAGCTAAGATAGACTTCTTTCCACAAAAATTGGTCTAGTAGATAGATTGAAATTTCCTCTCTTTGAGTCAAAACTATACAATGTACGTCGATGAAGGTTAGACATCCAGGCAATACGATACGCCAAAAAGCAGTTACTCAAGCAACTGGATATGATTTTGAAAACGTCAGACGTTTCAGCTAGTATCCACTAGCTTTCGTCAGTGGCTGAGAGACCAGAGGGAAGGGGGGCTACGGGTCGATCTTTCCGGCACTTGGGATTTGGCACTCCCTGCCCCGAGAACAGACGACACTTTAGCTCCTGTTCTGTATAACAGGAGCTTTCAGACTAATTTTCATCATCTTGTCTTGACTTGTCTGACTTTTATTCCTTTTTCGACTTCCAAAAATTTGTCTTCACTTTATTTGCATATCAATCAATAGGTTGTGCTTATAAACCTGTTTTCCCCTCTGGTCTCTCAGTCACTGACGAAAGCTAGTGGATACTAGCTGAAACGTCTGACGTTTTCAAAATCATATCCAGTTGATTGAGTAACTGCTTTTTGGCGTACTATACAATGTAGTTTACACCGTACGTATGAGGGGCTTGAAATCACCAGCATTTCTATATGCAGACTAATTTTGATATCTGGGCTGCATGGACCATGGTTCCTCCACCAGGCCAGGTCATTGCACTGGACACTGCATCAAAAATCAGGCCAAGGAAACGTTGAATTATTTATTGCTAGGTCTAATCCACATGGACGTTGACCTGGGCTTTCGTATATTCTCAACGGGAAATCGCGAATTCTAACGGTTTCAGGTGACATTTCCTTTCAAACTATGCATTTCCAGAAGATAACCTACTAGTAAATACATGTTGATTGAGACGTTTGCTCGTTTTCAGATCCTTTAATGCACAGTGTGTAGTACATATTTCTTCAGCACATAGTGCTGTATCTATACTGCTCATATTGTAAATAGCTGATATATCCCCTGAATTACAGAATGTTATAATACTCTTCCTAAGAAAACACAATAGATTAGCTCGTTTGAATCATATTTTAGTATTAGTTTGTATATGTACCATTGTTGTTTCTTTGCCATATACTGTACCAGCTACAGTTGTTGAGCAATAAAGTTGATTGATTGATTGATATGTGCACAGCTAGCTCATCTTTACATTTGAATGTTAACTTGTACCACAGTCTGTCCGTATCCCAATGTTACACGTAGTGTAGTAAGGATTGAATGACGTTGCGCACTATCAAAGCTCACAATTGTGTGGCTTGTGTACTGTTCTCTGTCCATTATGCCCCCGTCACATTGTCGACGAGCTTCGGCCGTATTTGTCAATCGCCGAAAGATCGGCCGACTTTGAGATCGACCGACGATCGCGCGTATTTTTGGCTTAAAAATCGTCGCCGTCACATTGTGCGAGGCTCGGGCGATCGCTTGACAATACATCTATGATAATGAATGTCCCTATAACATGGCAAGCAGATGAAGCAAGGCCAGTGTATCCACCTAAAAATGAATAGTTTGGACATTTTTTGTGTTTGACCTATTTTTTAGCAAAGTAATGGAGCGGACTGGCAGAATGAAATAGAAATATAAACAGGAATTCTATGAAAGATCCAACTCAAATACTACCACAAGAGCCAGAAATTTACACTACCGCCTGGTTAAAACAACGACCACCTTTTTAACCAGACAGGAGTCGGCCGAAGCTCGCTCGACACACGGGCGTACGTCGCTCGAGTTACGGTCGACGATTTATCGATGCTCGCACGATCTCTAGACCATTCATACGAAAACGTACAAGACATAATGATTATCATTATATCAAAATCTTTTTATACACGTGTACCTGAACAGAGCTAATAAGATATATTGTTGTAAAACTTTGCCTGTATACTTCTGTCTAAAAAAGTATGAATCTTCTGGTAAACAAGATTATTAGTCATTCAATGTCAACAAATCAAACAGAGGTAAAAAGACCCATGCAATATAAACTTCAACTAGTAAGTAATACCTATCATATGACGTTGTTGTGGGCACCCTAAGAAAAAAGTCAACCTCATTGTAAGTGTAAACGTCAATTCATTATACAATCATCTGAAATAAGGCCACACACCTCCTAAAAGGACAAGAGTAAAGGATATCATGTGCGTTCAATCAGTTGAGGTAAAAATCTAGGCATTTGGCCTTATATAGTTAAAACCTCGTCATCTTTTTAGTGCTTTTGTTTATTAACGAATGTTGATGTAACAAAAGGCAAAAAGGACGATTTTGTCTATTTTTATACTTTCTCGTAAACAAAACGTCAACAATCAGTGGGACGTTGCTCCTGCAAACTTTACACAGTATACTGTCAATGCAATCTCAAATAAATGTCACAGGTGCTGAATAAATAATAACTTCACAGGAGCTCGGCCGAGCCTCGTAGAACCTTCGTCCGACACTGGCACGAAGGTCGCTCGAAGCACGCACGATTTTAAAAACTTTGCGTAAGTCGGGCGAGGTACGGAAGAGGGTCGCCCGAATATTTCGCGAAGCTCGCGCGAGGGTCGACCGTATTCAGCGACCGTCGCCCGATTTTCAAAGACGAAATACGGTCGAGACTCGTGGGATGTACGTCCGAATATCAGTCGACTCTCGGCCGCACAGGGACGAGCTATGGGCGAGCTACGCGCGAGCTGGAAACGAGCTCTGCGACCTCAAAAATCGCCGGCGACTAGTCGCTGATGTTAAGAACACGTTTCGCGTGTCAGCGAGCTTCGGCCGACTCCAAAAAATCGCCGGCGATCCCGAAAATTCGCGCGATGCTCGACGGAACATCGGGCGTACTACGGTCGTAAATGTCGTTCAGAGCTCGCCAACTAGTCGGCCGATCGATTTACGCGCAATGTGACGGGGGTATTACAACGGTGCGTTTTTTTTACCTTTTTCCAAAGCACAGATTGACCTTTTTTGTCCACAATATTGTCTGCGCCCTTCAGTAAAAATGATAACCTTGCGCAGTGCGACATATTTCTTACTGTAGCATTTTACATAAAGGGGAATAGGAATTATTCCATAGAGGTATAATTTACTTCTCTTGCCGTGGTATCTGTTGCATATGGAAACGAAGCCAGATACACTTCCCACGTGCCCATTGCAAATCTCAACTGACTCCTTTTTTTTTAACCACAAATTGTCTGCTACCTGCAGAAAAACGGAACACCTTGCGCAGTGCTTCATATCTATCACGATCATACGCAAAGAGGAAGGGACATTAGGCTGCACGACGCAATATCATTTATTGCAAAATTCACTCTTGTTGTATTAGTTTGTCCATTCAGCCGTTTTCTGTCAGTACAGTACAGATGTACGAGGAAGCAGAGCCAGTCCGGCGCTGGTACTCAACCTTGGGGTCCGGCCACGGCCAACCCAGCGCCCCGCCGTTCCAGGCTCCTCCTGTAAACCAGGGTGGTCCAAGCGGACGTGACAGCTATAGGTGCGCCATCCACTTTCATGTTATTATGTCCACCATACGTTTTGTATTTGTTTTCCCAATCTGTTTCCCAAGCTTTTATGTTTCATGAGGAAAGGATTTTTAATATAAGCACATTACGTCCTTTCCGTCCAATGCTCACAAATCTATAAAAGTGTATGAAATAAAATAAATCATCATCTGTAAGATTAAGACATACCGAGCATTTGGATATCTTTTGTAACGCTGTTCTTTCAGCCATACCCTATGGACCTCTGGGCCCGAGTCCAACACCAACGCCACGGTCAGCAAGCATGTCGACTGCAGGTGAGACATCCATGCCTACCAAATCTTGTACCAAACAAGAGTTCCGAGATCTCATACCTCCATGAAATATGGGCTTGTTTTGTCATACTTCATTTCAACATGTCCAACATGTCCTCATTAATTATGAAAATGACATCTACATTAACATAATATACGTATAGTGGTGTTAACCTTGTTAACCTTAAGTAGCTTTCACATGTAAAAAGGTATAAAGTTCCCATCATTCACCAATAAGGAGTCACAGAATTTTCACATTGATTATGCAAATTAAGTCATCATTTGCATAATTGGTATCTGTTGATGTTCCGCCTGCCACAGATTAAATAGATTACATGCATAAAAGAACTATTATATAAAACACTGTAACTATACAATTTCCCCCTTAATTAGGCAAATTAAGTCCTCATTTGTATAATTTGCATTTATTTATGTACAACTCTCTCTCAGCTACCTGTACAAAAAAAACCACACAAAGCATTGTAATTATGAATGACTTCTTAATATAACAAATAATCCTATAAATGGCAAGCTACCATGTTCATTAAATTTAACTTGGACCACATTAATATATTAATCTGATGTCAATTCTTATAATCCGAAACTGTTTTTGTCAGCGTCTTGTCCCAAAGATTATACAGAGTTTCGTGGGATCTGCTACAAGAAGTCCAAGACACACAAGGACTTCAGCGAGGCAGAAGCGACCTGCCGTGAAGACGGGGGAACCCTCGCTATGGCCAAAGACGCCGCTACCAACGCCTTCCTGGTCTCAACCCTAGACAAGGTCGGGGCGTCGGGTGGTGTAGTGGTTAGAGCAATCGACTGTGAACCGGGAGATCACAGTCGATTCCGAGTCGTACCCGGGACATGTCTGAACATGCGTCCCGACGTTGTGCCCTTGGGAAAGGCACTTTACACGACTTTCCTCACTCCACCCAGGTGTAAATGGGTACCTAACTTCGGTTGGGGAAAGTCGTATTGAGGTCACCTTGTGGCGCCGAATGGCAGCCGCACAGACCCTTGCGACATATATAATATGTATCATTTGTATTATTTGATTGTTGTAATTGTTGTGATTTGTATTGATTATTATGTGATACCCTGCATCAATTCAGCCGTATAAAGGCTGCGACTGCACGGGTACTGTTTCGACAATAAAACCATTTATTATTATTATTATTATAAGGTGGGTCGTCACACTACAAACTGCTGCTGGATCGGTCTGCACGATCGGCGCCACGAGGGATCGTTTGAGTGGGTAGACGGTACACCGCTTGGGAACTTCAGCTTGTGGGGCGTGGCACAGCCGGGAGGTGAGGGCCAAGACTGCGTTCTGTCCACAGACTGGGTTGGGCAACCCACGTGGGCTGACTTCGACTGCCTTTATAGTTTCTTCTTCATCTGCCATGATCCAGGTACGTCACATGAACCTTATTTATAGAAACCATTCCAACATACATCATTTACTTCCTGTTACTTTCAAGTGAACATGACTAGAATCTGAAAATAAGTTCACAGAACATGGTAAAAGACACACAGATAACAATAATATCATTCAACTTGAGGTAATGATAAAACTATTCATATGTACACAATTTTTATTATTTATTCACATATATTTATTGAGTATTAGACAAAAAGCACAGATTGCTTATGTGACGCCTTCTTCCCAAAAACATAAGACGAGAGTAAAAACATAATAACAAAATACATACATAATTACAAAGTCGGTAAAAGAAAAATGAGTATAATCAATGTTACACAATTTACGTTCGTTGTATATTCATTTACGTTTCATAGACACCTTTACAAAAACAACCTACTTTTCGATTAATCTAATCTCATGCTGCATGCATTGTTTACAGCAAATACCTAGAGGGTGGTCCAAACCCCGACCACAGGCCAAACTCAAGTAATATTAAGCCATAAGGATCAAATAAGAATATGGTTTACGTGACTTTGGCATATTGTTTATTGCATATTGCATTTAATTCTTACTTTTACGAGTAAAACAGTTTTGAGGCACTGTAATTAAGTAATCAATTTAGCAACAATGTATGCACTCGGCAATTAGAAGTACTTGTACTTGTCAATTTTCTTTTATGAACCGTCTTTTGAAGAATTACAATTCAGTGTTAGACAATGGAAATGAAAGAGAAACGTAAAAAAATCTTATACCCTGGTGACCATGGAAATCTATTACAGTTTCCTCTAATATTAAATAATCAGCATTCAACAAATATTTTAATTGTGTTGCATAGAAAAATGGATTATAGATGATCTGTGTTTATCACATATAGTTGTCAACGCGTGTGTAAATAAGATGTTTTCATAGGATTGAAAATAACATAGATGTAACAGACAATCACTGACAAAAGGACAATTTTGAATAGTTATTAATCGACTCTTACAGAGGAGCGAAGTCGCAGACAATCACTGAATAGACGTAATTCCAATCTCCGCGGCCATTTTGAAAAGCGGTCCCGCACGCACGTGATCTTGCACGAAAACGAGGCGCGTACGTATACTCAGCTGGCTTCCACAATACGTTCCATTGGGGCATCGAGCGGTGCTGCATCTTCTTCGGTAAATTACGCTCTTCTACGGTGAAAGGTCGAAATATTTATACGTGTTACGAATAGATAAGGTTGTTATGAGCATTTTTGTTTGATTTCAGCCGGTAGAAATTACAAATCCCCCCTCATTTTCCGAATTTCTTGACCGAACTCATAATGTACGTTATACGCTAGCTACGCTCGCATGAAAAAAATACGTAAGTATATACTGAGTTCATTCGTACAAAACCTGTATGGGGACGTGAAAATAACAGGTAGACACCGCTTTTCAAAATGGCCGCGGAGATTGGAATTACGTCTATTGGTGATCTGTTGAATCGATCATGCATTATTCATTGTCCCAGTAAATAGCACATAGCAAATGTTTATTTCAACTATGCGTCATTTGAACTGGTTTCTAGGCATAGAAATATTTTGGGCTCGCACCTGCCTAGTATATTTTCTTACATCACGAGTACAATTTATTTTGTTTGTTGTAATGAACTGTGATAACTGTAGATGATTGGTAGAATCTATGTCTATTAGTAGGAAAATTGATCTATTCTATTTCATGGAGCATACATATGAATATTATGCTTATCTGTATATGTAATACATTAATGAAAATACGTTATTTTAAACAAACAATTCTGGAAACCAATGCATCAGTAATTGTTGTGTCTAGCGTCAATATAACAATCTTGCACGTTTAAGTGCATATGTAGATTTAATCTTTGTAGGGATATTATATTAGAGGGGAAAGACTTGGTGTAATAACATACTTTTCCCTAGCTGTTTGTCACGCTTTATTCTGTACATAACACCCTACCTTACGTTAACATCGAGTTTTCTTCTCTAACTAACTGTACCTGACCCTCGGAGGCAGCAAGGTAAAATAAAGACCATTCTATCTCTGTGATTTTGTTCTCAAATCAACAATATTACCTAGTGTGGCTGTTGGTGGCGTGGCATTGGATCTTATACATGGGTTGGTGTGCATGTAGGTTTATGATCTGCTACATGGATTGGTGTGGATCGTAGGCGTGGTTTATGACCTGCTATATGCATTAGTGTGGATGGTAGGCGTGGTTTATGATCTACTACATGCATTAATGTGGATGTTAGTCGTGGTTTATGATCTGCTACATGGATTGGTGTGAATGGTAGGCGTGGTTTATGACTTTCTACATGGATTGGTGTGGATGGTAGGCGTGGATTATGACTCGCTACATGGATTGGTGTGGATGGTAGGCGTGGTTTATGACTTGCTACATGGATTGGTGTGAATGGTAGGCGTGGTTTATGACTTGCTACATGGATTGGTGTGGATGGTAGGCGTGGTTTATGACTTGCTACATGGATTGGTGTGGACCGTTGGCGTGGTTTATGACCTGCTACATGCATAAGTGTGGATGGTAGTCGTGGTTTATGATCTACTACATGCATTAATGTGGATGTTAGTCGTCGTTTATGATCTTCTACATGGATTGGTGTGAATGGCAGGCGTGGTTTATGACTTGCTACATGGATTGGTGTCGATAGTAGGCGTGGTTTATGATCTGCTACATGGATTGGTGTGGATGGTAGGCGTGGTTTGTGACTTGCTACATGGATTGGTGTGGATGGTATGCGTGGTTTATGACTTGCGACATGGATTGGTGTGGATGGTAGGCGTGGTTTATGACTTGCGACATGGATTGGTGTGGATGGTAGGCGTGGTTTATGACTTGCTACATGGATTGGTGTGGATGGTAGGCGTGGTTTATGACTTGCTACATGGATTGGTGTGGATGGTAGGCGTGGTTCCAGATCTCGAACAGGCAGGCGGCACTGTGGAACCGATAGAAGATGAGAAGAGGCAGCGCGATGTGGGTGACGAGAATCCAGGCCACATGGTGATAGAATTGCTCCTATAATGCAAACAAATTAATAGGAAATCACCTTACGGTTGGATTTGGATCTGGGGCTGTCGAATTATTGTATTTCAATACCTAAAAATTCAGACACAAAGGAAAAACAAACCGCATCACCTGGACCCCGACAACTAATCATATACCGGAAATCAAATGAATCCGTTAAAACTACCGCGAGTTATACTTGCGAACACACAAACACGAGAGAAAACATTACCTTCCCGTACAGGGATATCTTCTTTCCCGAAAGTAAGAACGCTAACCTAGTATCTTACCTGCACCTGGAGCGTGTCCGGGATGTAGAGAGTAGACACAGACACCAGCCACAGCGTCACGTTCAACACGAACAGGAACATCACAAGCTGCCGGCTGCGTTTGCGGATCCTCCTCCTCTCCGGTACGTTCTTTTGGCGGCCGCCACTGTATTTTCCTCCGCCAACATTCTCTTCGTCTTCCCAGTACCTCTTTGCCTTGCTCACCCAGCGATCATCACTCTTGGGCAGTGGAAAGGGTAATTTTAAAAACGGATCGCAGCTTACTTTTGAACAGCGACCACCCGGTGCATCATGGCTGTCCTCGCAGCTGCCTCCTATGATCGTCGGACCCTCGATCTGACGATGATGAACCGTAATAACGCCTTGTCGCACGGGCAAGACGTCTCGAAGCGGGACGACGTCGTGAAGAATTTCCCCGTTTGCCCCTCCTGGTGTTGCAAACGACACCAGGCCCTTCTCCACAGCTTTGGGTTCCTTTTCCTTCAGCGCCGACGTCCGGTTGAGTCCATCAAAGATAAAGACAGTCTGCAGGGATGTCTCCACGATGACAGACCCCATCCGCCATGTCAGCAGCATGTCTGACCAGTTCTGGTGCGTCGCCATGATTCCCGAGATCAGGCTCAACACAGCCAGCAGGAAAACGCCGAACAGCGCCACGGACAGCAGCGCCTTGTCCAGAACGGCCCCGCTGTGCTGCTCGCTGCGGTGGGAGCGGAGGTAGTACCACGCCATCACGGTGACTACGATCCCGATGATGTTGCACATGAAGATGGTGAGTTGGTAAGCGATGGAGGCGGCCCAGTGGTCCAGCGCACCGAAGGAGAAGCCGTAGATGATGATGGTAGTGAGGACAGCAGCCAGGACGATCACTCCGGCCACCAGACCTTTACACGAGGACATGCAGTAGTGAGATGTTTGGGACAGGATTTTCCACTGGCGCGTCGGTGTCTTTCCACACGCCTGAAAAGTGCACAAAAGATGCTTTGAATACAGTGGGCCCGAACAAGTACGTTAACGCTTTCAGAACATCTACACCATGGTGCACACGCCTTCTCTCGACCAGCGGCGGCGACCGGGGGGCGGTACCGACTTCCGACGAACTTTGACCCAGTGCTGACGTCACACGTGCTGAAACATCACGCATGCTTGGGCCCGATAGCTGATGAAGACCGAGAGATTCAAGCGAAAATTCCGGTGAGTCAAATTCATTTGTTGTTGGAGAACAATTTAGTTCTCATTATGAACTTTCAAAATGCAATATTACTTATTGTAACGACATATACTGATATGATACAAAACTGAGAAGTCGGTATCCCCAATCGTTGGCGAAAGATAAATAAAAAGAACCAATCTGCAACTGAATGGATTTAACATAGTGTTTGGGGACCTGAATGACCAGTGCTCTGCCATTTCCAATTTAATCATGCTGTTAGGAAAAATGTACATTTTCAAAATTCGCCAGGGAATGTTAAAATTGTCGAACTTTGTATTTTTTGTCAAATATTTTCATGATTTGGAGATTAACATTGCAAGAAGAAGAGGGGAAGTATCAAAACACATGGATAAGGGGAGAAATTGTACTCTGCATTTGAGTACATAATTTAGCCATGGGTTTAGCGGTTTTTAAAGATTTGTTACTTACCTTAATTGTTTATTTGTTTCATGTTCATGTATCAGTTTGTCTCGTTTCCAACGTTATTGTTATGTATCTTGAATCTGAATAAAGATTGTTGAAAAAAACCCAGTGCAGTGTTACCTGTTCTTTGATGTCTACAATGGCGACTGCAAAAGCGGCGGCAGCGATGAGGCTCTCCTCAATGGTGCAGGGGTACATCATGGGAGACATGAGCCTCATCAGGTGCTGTAGGAACACAGGCTGGCAGACGGGGGACAGGTCCAAATCGTCTGCTTCTGTAACTGTGATTAAGCCATACTATACGGTCAGTTTATCCATCATCATCATAACCAGCATCATTGTCATTATCTCCATCATGGTTACATAGTCATCATCATTATCATCATCATCAACAACACTATATTGTCATCATCATCATCATCATCACCATTATCAGCATCGCCACCACTTTCCTCACCATCATCATTGTCGTTGTCATTATCTCCATCAGGATTACAATCATCATCATCATCATCATCAACACTATCGTCTTCAGCAGCAACATCGCCACCATTATCTTCACCACCACCATCATCATCTTCGTTGTCATAGTCTCCATCATGATTATCTTAATCACCATCATCAACACTATCGTCATCATCAACGACATCGCCAACATTATCTTCACCATTATCAGCGTTGTCATAGTCACCATCACTATTATCATCATGATCATCACCATGATGAGCACCTAATGAGGCTCATCGTCATAACAATATCATCATCATTACCATTGTTATCAGCATCGTCACCGTTATCTACAACATTAGCATTACTACCTTCATCATCATCATCATCATCATCATCACTATCATCACCGTATGGTTACTGCACTGTACTGTGGGCCACCTCACCTGCCCCATGCAGGTCGTGTGAGGCGTGCAGCAGCCTCTCGTGCCCCTCCTCCGCCACCACGGTCTGGTTGAGCCGGTGTTCCAGCGCCTCCACGGTCTCGTGCACCACGGTGTTCACCCACACGCACAGGTTGGTGGCCACGCAGTGCATCAGCCCCAGCACGTAGAACCACGAACGCCACCCGTCAGGCTGCTGCTTCATCTAAACAACGTAGTGGAGCAGATAACATCAAATTTTGGAGGAATCTTTCAAATTGTGATACAAGCACCAAACATGGTACAAATACCCATGAGACATTACTCTTTTGAAAAAGTACGCTAGCAGCTTGCGTTAGAACTGCAAAAGCGTTTTTTGCCGGTGCACAATTTGCTCAAAGAAGAGGACTTTTTGGTCGGCTGCAGTAGCAAAGAGCGCCCTTGGAGCAAATTGTGCACCGGCAAAAAACGCTTTTGCAGTTCCAACGCAAGCTGCTAGAGACACAAAATTTACGTCACTTCTTTCGTATCCCAACAGCTTTCTACCACATAAAAATCATGACTGTAGCATGTTTAGAACAGGAGATACAAAGCCCGGAAGGTCGGCTGCAGTACCAAAAAGCGCCGCTAGGGGACGCCAAAAGTCAAATCAAGTGGCCTGCGTTTTTTTTTCAAAATAATAATTTCTAATAAGTATTTGTACCAAGTTTGGTGCTTGTATCACAATTTGAAAGATTATTTCAGTTATCTGCCCTACTAACGGTGCGGACTAACACGTTACGTTTGGCAGTGAGTTCATCTTAAATATAGTTTGTTACAAGTTCATGCCTTAGGACTAATTGTAGGTAACAAAGACACGGGAAAAATGAAACAAGGTACAAAAGAAGGCCTGCGAGGTTTGACTTCTTCTGAGCAAGTAGGTTGAAAATCTCCTTGATCTGAGTAAGCCATGGGAGACACTATGTCGCACTTTTCCCGGATGCCATAATGTGAGGGTTTTGGGTAGTTAAAAGAAAGGCGTTTTTCTTTGTCTGTAAGCTTAAATGTATGAGGGGTTTCATATATATTTCATATATCTCGAGACGAAAATGAAAATAGCAATGTGGTTACGACTCTACCCGCCGTTTTAGAGCGGTGCCAAATGGAAGATTATCTACTTTTACGAAACTTTAAACATCACCAGTACAATGAAATTGTTCATATTACATGTACCTCAAAGGTTAGGAGAATATACATCTGCATCAGACAGAAGAAGATCCAGCCGACAGGGCTCATCAGTGACGTCAGCTCCACGTGATAACATCCGGGCATCGTGTTGTACTCTGCGTAAATGGCGACCTCCAGGGCAGCTTTGATAACACTGATCAAGCCGAAACCTGTAGGGGGGGGGAGTTATGGTTGCCAGAAATAATCTTACTTTGTCGTAGATCCATTAAAAAGATGAGAATTTCTAGCCATAAATTGAATATAGAATTAGGAAGATATAAAAAAATCCCTCGCGACCAGAGGTTTTGTCCATTCTGTCCCAATGATATTGAAGACGAACAACATTTAATTTGAATTGTAAACGCACAAAGCTGTTCAATCTTCTCTCCGTCTGCTCAACAGAATTTGTTACATTTCATGCTATAGATAAATTTAAGTTCACCCTAGAAGGCAATAACCCTTACTGTGTACAAATAGGTAAATATATCAAAGAATGTTTAAACCTTAGAACAAGTAGTTGACCCATCTATTGTTTTGTACGTAGGATATTTTCGTTGTACCTATGTTTATTTGTCTGTATATCTACATGTCTTAGACCTTACGAAAGTCGCTGTACTTTTGTTGTGTCAATAAAGTTCTCTCTCTATCACTGACTTTCAAACAGTATTCTGCTGGAACAAAAATCTTTTAAGTTTTCTTTTTCTATACATTTTGAGCCACATGGCCACATATGAACTACAGAAGTGTACAATGCAGTGCATCCCTGACTAAAACTGTAATATTTGCAAATGTATAATGTTTACCTTCACATATAATGTTTAGCCTAACATTTCCACAAACAACAACTGCTCTGTTTTTTTATAATCAAACGCATTTATATATGATATATGGAGACCATTCTCACAACGTTAACTTTGTCCTGCTACATAATGTAACCCAACACCACAGGGTGTCTGCTACAGCACCAGTTACCATGGTGACAGACGTCTGTCTGGAGAAGTCGGAGAAGAGGAAGAAGAAACGTTAACAGGGCAAAAACAATATTTTCCTTCTACGAAGGTAAACATATGATAATACTACTACTGTGTAACATTAATGCCTTCTTACCGACTAATCCACATTTGAGAAAGATGCTGAGGTCGTCCTTCCTCCCCTCGACAGGGCAGCGGCCATGTTGGCACCCTGACACGAACACTGCCAGCAGCCAGGCAAACCCCACCGCGTACAGGTAGCAGAAAAATCCCTGGGGGGAGACAAACTTTAGTCTACATCGTGTACCTGCAGAGTATTTGAAGACATATGCAAATTATCAGTAGGCAAATCACCCAACTGTCATCCGCTCTTTGCCTACTATTCGTGACAGCATGACGATCGCTCGTATCCTGAATGGGTGCACATGACGTCACAGCCTACGAATGTCGAACGAACGCCGCCATGCTTGATCCAAGATGGCGACCGGCATTTCGAAATTCATTGACAATGATTCAAATAAACTGATTATTCCTAGCCAAGGCGCTCTCCAATTATAGTGACCACTGAACGCAGGTGTGTTGAGTTTGAAAACAAATCGAGTCGACTACTTTTCTGATCATTATAGTGTCTTTCATGTTGGTAGCTTAACCACGTCAGACTAGACCGATCCCGAATGCCCATCACAATTAGAAGTTCAACCAATGAGAGTAGGGCAATTAGCGGTTCGACCAATGAGAGAGTGGCTTCATGTCCGTCAAATATTTGCATGTCTATGTTTTAACGGAGGTGGGCGGGGCTTCAGGATCGGTCTATTAAACCTTGTTCATGTGAAGTCACCCAAACCGCGATTCGGGTAACTCGCATTCCTCACATCTGGTCCACGTGCCACACATTCCTTTGAAACAATTCGCTTAAGCTACATTTATTGTTTTTTGATGAAAACACGCAAGGTAGCGTGTTATTAATGTCAGAGGCCAACGACCTGCTTGCTGTTGCCCCCCTCCCAGCGTATCTCGGCCGAATGCCGACGTGGTCCCGCCAGAGGCGGTGAAGCTCGCCCTAGAACGGACACATTATTTGACTATTACTGCTCTTTAAGTTGCTGCCACGTAAAAGTTCGTATTGCATATAAATAGAAATATCACCCAGTAATCCATGACCTAGTGAAGTCACATGAAATCACATTGCGCTCAGACGCAAATCGCGATGCGGGAAAACCGATTCGAAACCACCTCTAGAAGTGGCTTGGGATCGAGGCGCTTTCAATGTGATTTGGGGCGTTCAGATGGAGCCAGTTGAAACCGGCTTCGGGGTAAACCACATGTAAAGCGCATTGGGTGACTTCACTTAAACACGGCCTATGTTGAGTGGTGGTACTAGTAACTTACGTCTACTCGTGGCCTGACCAGGTGATCGCTGATGAACTCGCTGATTGGCAGGACGGTCCCCACCACCACCAGTAACATCCCGTACAGACCACAGAACCCCAGGGCGTAATACGTCACGTGCTCCATCCGGCCCGTACCTATTACCGATGGCCGTCTGAAAAAGGTGATCTCCTAGTGAAACATTGAACTATATTCCAACACAAGGGTTACAGAGCGATCAAATTTTGGACGACCACTGTCGTCGTCATCAGGATAATGAATGACCAATCACTTCACAGCGTGATCTCACGAGAATTACGGTTTACAATCACGTATCAGTAAAATCTCGTGTGAATAAGGTCACGTGTTTGTAAACCGTAACTCTCGCGAGATCACGTTGTGAAGTGATTGGTCATTCATTATCCTGATGAAGGAGACAGTGGTCGCTGAAAATTTGATCGCTCTGTAACCCCTGTGTTGAAATAAAGTTCAATGTTTCACTATGATTACTACCAACACAGATGAACTTTCATGATAAGGTGATCTCTTCATAGATTTTTGAAAACAAATTGATGTCAAAGTTAAAGTAAAGCAACCATGCTGTACCAACTGTCATATTTCTGGTCGACTGTGCATTCTATTTTGTCTTCAAGAATACCAATGGCTTCTCGCCATCTCTTATTGCACAAGAATCCACGTATCTAACTCTGGATCATACCTTAAACTTACATGCCCCCCTTTCTCTACCCAATGCCTACATAGAAACGAAATACTAGTATCCCACGTTCATAAATTCATAATGATAAATTCAACTCTTCGCCCCATTGTGACGCGTTAGAGACGCATTAGATATCCGTTGTATACCACTCACTGGGTTTACATCTTTGAGGTACAAAAATAATAGCCTGCGAGTGTCAGCCATTTTAGCGTTCGTCCAGTAGCGGATCGTGTGGAGCGGACGAAAGCTAAAAAGGCTGACAGATCAGGCTACAAAAAGAATGCTTTCCAACTGCAGTCTACGATTGGATATTGAATTTTGACGACATTTTTAATGAGTAATGAACTCAATACATGTAACCGATCAGCATGAAAGTTCATCTGAGTTGGTAAATTACATTATGAAAAACTTAAAATCACCGGGACACACAGTAGATCTGGAGGGGGTCAGAATCTTGGACACCGAACAGGATTACTTCAAGAGAGGCATAAAAGAGGCCATATACATGTACATCAGGGCACTTCAACCATCGCTCAACCGGGACGGGGGTCGATATCGACTTCAGACAACCTTTGACCCTTTGCTGACGTCACACGTGGGAAAAAATCACGTGTCCACAGCATTTGGGTCAGATAGCTGAGGAAGACTGAGTGATTCAGTCGAAAATTTCTGGTGAGTCAAATTTTGAGTTGGAGAACATTTTAAGTTTTTCAACATGTAACCGATGATTGATATGGGATGGCATATGTGAAGTGCCACATTGACTTGATGAAAAAGTTCAAGAAATTAATATAAATATAAATATAATATAATATAAATTAATAATTTTCTATCTAGAATGTTGGGGTCCCTCCGTGTCGTCATAAAGGTCAAGGTTACCATGTGCTGCTAACTCCTCGGTGCTGTTTTTAACCGGGACGGACGCTTTGGCACGTCGGTGCAGTTTTGCCTCAGTAACCCTCGAAACGGCACGCACAGTCAGACTATATCCAGTCACAGAGTTATGCCACAGTTAATTATAAAACAACATCTCTTACCAGCGTGCTATCGTAAAATGTATGGATACAGTAGACCACGTAGAATACTACAGTCGGAATTGCTAACTATTGCTCGTTTATATGACATGTGATATACCCCCGGTCCTGACTGAGTCATACAGCTACATTAATCAAATCCGTTACGATCTCACTGACACGTACTAGTATAGACAAAGCCGTGTAGATAATATCATAATGCTCAAAATAGTACCGTCTGCCGCAGACATTGTAACCGGCTCGCGGGTCGGCATCTGTAGGACTGTCAACGCATCTTTGACAGTTTGTTGCGGCAAAAATAGGGCTAGTCTTTCAGAACGTCATACGACAACAGACACGCTACAGGAATATTATGACATCTAGACCGAAGACTGTTCTAGACGCTAAGCGTTCGTCCGAACGATTATGTGATGTACATTATTGTGTTTAAGCAATGCGGCAAGTTGCTATGCTTTTTTCGGGTTGGCTTACCTTAGCTCTTCGGGCTCCGACACCACGACAGGGTAAACTTTGTCCCCCATCTTCCACTCACCTCTGGACAGGGCCAAGTGAAAACGGCAGATGGACTGCAGAGCTGGGGTAGAATTTTGTTCGTACGTGCTGATGAATTAGCCCCCAAAGCAGGCTCTTCGGTGGGCGTTTTGACATTGCCTTTTTGTTTGCTGACGACGGTAATGTTTTCCAATTACTATTGCGTCGCGAAGGCACACTTTCAACAACATTAGCAGCAACCTAAAAGTAATACATAAACATAATGGCAACAAAATGAAGATGTCCGTCATGGGGCCTGATGCGAGACTACTAGTGAATTGCAGTTCATGTCCTTACCCCCTGCTGCCCGTGGTTACCAGAAAGCATGGGGGCAACGCCCGAACGGATAAGTACGTGACGATACTTTAGATCGGACGATTTTATTATGGCTTCACCACAAAGTGGTGAAGACATATTGTGTTCCCTCATGTTTCTTCTTCTCCTTCTCCTGCCATTTCTTTAAATGGATTCATCTCTGCCATTTTCCGGCCAAATAACACGAAATTTGGCATGAAGGTAGAGTGGGCAAATACCCCGACACGTTTTTTCATTTTTTTGAAAAATTGTTTTATTTGGGTTTTTTGGCCATTTTCAGGCAAAAAATATACATTTTGAGATCTGGTTCCCAGGTACTAAAACCAAATGACCTGAAATTTGGCATGGGGATACCTTGGACATATGTCTACAAAAACTCATTCAAGCTTTTGACATACACCACTTTAAAATTCGGAAAAATAAGGCTTTTTGGCTATTTTCGGACCCAAAATGTACATTTTTGGCTCCTGTGCCCTAATATTAAATCTGAATGACCTGAAATTCGGTATGGGGATACCTTGGACACGTGTCCAAAGAATGCCATTCACGCTTTTGACATATACCACTTTAAAATTGTGTAAAATAGGGCTTTTTTGCTATTTTCGGACCAAAAATGTACATTTTTGGCTCCTGTGCCCTAATATTAAATCCGAATGACCTGAAATTTGGTATGGGAATACCTTGGACACATGTCCATGGAATGTCATTCACGATTTTGACATACACCACTTTAAAGTTATGTAAAATAGGGCTTTTTGGCTATTTCCGGCATTGGAAGGTTCCATTTCTGCATGGGGGTGTAGACTATTGGTAGCCATCGTAGGATAGATCCATTTACGGTATGGGGGATAGGGTGAAGCCATCTGCTGCATTTGCTCTCAAGCAAATGTCGGCCTTTCTAGTTTCAGTTTCTTGTTTTCAGGCTGTATATTACATATCTTATTGCGTACGATGCAATGGGCCATATGTAGCGTTGGCATTGGCATAATAAGCTCACATAATAAGCATCTCGTTTGGCCAATACAGAGAATGTTACAATGGTGATGATATGTTATGCACACATGCATTGCCCATGTATATGGTGGCTGTCAATCAACACAATTCATAAATAGATTCATCGGCCTATTTCTAGCTTTGTCTCTAGGTAATATAGGGAGAAGATTTATGAGAATATTTATGACAATGTGATGTTATGGAAAACGACGATATTAAACTATTTTCATGAGCGCAAAGGACGATTGTAGGATATCTAAAAAAAACTTTTGTTGAGCTTGTGTCATACATAATTAGTCCTACGCACCGTTAAAATATACACTTTAAATGACAACTGAAGAAATTCACTGAAAGCTATTAAAAAGATGGATACATTCTGAGCAACAACACATCGCATTTAAAACTAGACAATAGAAAAACTCCCAACGCAATGTAACGATTCTTACATTTTGAATATGAAACATAGTACAAAAGTATACAGTGCCTTGAGCATTATAATAGAAACATGAAGATAGTACAGTTGACTAGTCGTACTACATACAAAAGGTATTTCTGCCTATGGATTTTGAAGATTAATGGATGGTTACATCATTTAGTGACCATAAAATAACGTTACATGTTTTAACTTTATACTGTACACTGCTGCCTGGTATAATACGGTGTCAGGTATCAAAGAGGTCCACTTTTTTTTTGAAAACCTGTATTGGAGGGCAGCCAAGCCTTATCGAGTTCAGTGCCGAAAGAGAACGGTATTTCGCACAGTGTAGCTATGACCTAAGGTCTGGCCGTGTTACAAATCCGAGTGTAGACGGTAAGCGTGGATATGGCCATGTTACAAGTCCGGGTGTAGACGGTAGGCGTGGATCTGGCCGTGTTACAGATTCGAGTGTAGACGGTAGGCGTGGATCTGGCCGTGTTACAAATCCGAGTGTAGACGGTAGGCGTGGATCTGGCCGTGTTACAAATCCGAGTGTAGACGGTAGGCGTGGATCTGGCCGTGTTACAAATCCGAGTGTAGACGGTAGGCGTGGATCTGGCCGTGTTACAAATGCTAGTGTAGACGGTAGGCGTGGATCTGGCCGTGTTACAGATTCGAGTGTAGACGGTAGGCGTGGATCTGGCCGTGTTACAAATCCGAGTGTAGACGGTAGGCGTGGACCCAGATCTCGAAGAGACAGGCGGCGCTGTGGAAGCGGAAGAAGATGAGGAGCGGCAGGGAGATGTGGTTGAGCAGAATCCAGGCGACCGAGTGGTAGAACTGCTCCTGAGGATGATATGGAGAAGAGTTGAGTTAATTGAGATGAGTTTGTTTATTTGTTTATCATAATATTTCACAAAGTGAAAGGGAGGGCAAAACAGGCGCATACGCACCTTTACAAGTTGCCCTCCCCCAGTTTATTAAGATAACCTCTAGCCTGTACTCTCTATGGTACCAATCTTGCAGTGCTCGCCAAACAAAATACATGTATGTAAGCACAGGTTTATACACAAGCACAGACTTTAAGGATTAAGATCTAGAATTGAGAATTAAGGCAATAGGTCAGATTAGAGAACTAATCTATGATAAAATACTAGTAATTAAATTAATAAATTAGTGAGTGAAGGCATAAAACTTACGAGTTACTAAAGTTGCTAAACTATTACAATTTAAAACATCATCATTAGAATTGAAGCCATTAAGTTAAAGAAGTAAAGTATAGTATGCATGTAAGTTAAGGTTTTGATGTGTAAATTGGGGAAATTACTCCTTAGTATCAAATTTGAAGTGGATAAATTTGTAGTCCTTTTTTCCAACTAGTGGAACAAAAGCTTAGGTTTTCACATTTATATTTCTGTTACCCCCGTTCAAATGAGTCTAGATCTCCTACCTGTATATTATAGGTGTCCGGGATGTAGAGAGTGGACACGGCTACAAGCCACAGCGTCACGTTCAACACGAACAGGAACATCACCAGCTGCCGGCTCCGCTTCTTGGCCAGCCTGCCATCCTCGACCGACGCGCGCCGGCGGACTCCCTCCCGTGTCGTCCCGAAGAGCTCCACCTGCTGAGAGTCCTGCGCCCCCTGGAGGCTGTTCTGAGAAGCGCAGGTGGTGTAGACGGTCGACATGAAGGCGCTGCAGTCGATGGCCCGGATGTTGCTGCTGTCACGTGACCCTCCGTGATCAGGGAGTGTCACGCTGTCGGTCACAGATTGGTCGCTAGGCAACCCCGGGTCGTCCTTATCAACGTTGTGTGATTGGTTGATCTTCTGATCCTCTCCTGCAGAAACTACAATGGGCGATAACTCGCGCTTATCGCCCTGGCGGGCCCACGGCGTTCGGTTCAGCCCGTCAAAGACAAACAGAGTCTGCAGGGCGGCTTCGATGATGAGGATGGCGGACCGCCACGCCAGCAGCTGGTCGGACCAGGTACGCAGCTCCGCCATCACCCCGGCTATCAGCCCCAGCACGCCGAGGAAAAGGACCCCTGCCATCGACACGGTCAGCAACACCTTATGGCAAACAAAAACAATATCATCAGTAGCTGAACTTTTTTTCCAGCATTAGAAACCTCACTGAATTTTGAGCTGCCTCTACTACAGCCTTTCTCAGATTGGAATCTCAATCGTACAAGACATGTGACCAAAGGGACACGTGGCGTCAGCAGTTGGTCAAAGTGACAAGAAGTTTATACCGCCCCCCGTCTCTCCGAGTTAAAAAAATGATTTTCAAATGTCTGTACTGAAATCCAAATTACCAGTATCACTGGTGCATACGGTTGTTAGAGTGAAACAATTATTTCAAAAATTCAAACTGTTTACAGAGATTTACATTGTTTAAAATTAAAACGACATATAACTGAAATACCTTGTCTAGCATGGCCTCCCTCTTCTGGTCGCTGCGATGCTGCCGGAGGTAGTACCAGGCGGACACCGTACAGACGATACACAGGATGTGGATGGTGAACACCACGATCTGGTACGCCAGAGACGTCGCCGCGTGGTCCAGCCCGGGCCCGTGGAGCGAGAACGCGAAGACGGCCACGACGGAGATCATGGCGACCAGAACCACCACCCCGGTGATCAGCCCCTTACAGGAAGACATGCAGAAGAAGCCAGGAGAGGGAGACGCTGTCTTGAGTCGTCTTGGCACCGTCTTGCCCAGGGCGTGGTTCTTGATCTGGATGAGGGTGATGGCGAAGGCAGCGGCGGCGATGAGGCTCTCCTCCACCGTACAGGGGAACAGCAGAGGCGACAACATCTGTTTCAGCTCCTGGAGGTACACTTGCGGACACTGGTGCTCGGAACTGGCATTTCCGGAATCTGCTGAAAGTGGAGGACATTGGAGCACGAAAGGTTAGAGTTCAAGGTCACACGTCGGTACGTGAGGAGTAGTTTGAATACGATTGGTCATTGTAAATTTAGAAATTCGAAGTCCTATATTACACGTATTTACTGAATGAAATTTCACTACGCCACGAGTGTTCGTGTGGCGTAGTGGCAGATTGCGCGACTCGGAACCTAGAGGTCCCGGGTTCGAGTCCTGACATGCCACCGATCTTGTGTCCTTGGGAAAGGCACTTTACACGACTTTCCTCACTTCGCTTAGGTGAAAATGAGTATTGTCCTGTCATGTATTTGTCCCGTGTTGGTGGCGACATTAATATAAGTTGATAAAACTTGAGTGTGCCGTCACCACGTCTGGTGATTACATGTTGGAATAAAAAAAAATCACTATGTCGCCTGAAGGAGCATATGCATGTATCGCCAAATATGACATATACATTTTAAATATAAAATTCTTTCGACGCTTTTAAAATTAATAGCAGCTTTCCAACTTCCATGTGATCTGTTATACGTCAAAGTGCAAGTATATCAAGAAACACGAGTGGTCTCATAACTACAATGAATTGTATACTGTGCGGTAAAAAGCCCGTTGCACCCACCCATATGCTGCATGAGTTTGTAGGCGGCCTGCTCGTGCCCCTCCTCCGCCACCACGGTCTGGTTGAGCCGGTGTTCCAGCGCCTCCACGGTCTCGTGCACCACGGTGTTCACCCACACGCACAGGTTGGTGGCCACGCAGTGCATCAGCCCCAGCACGTAGAACCACGACCGCCACCCGTGGGGCTGCCCACACATCTGGAAAATTAAAAATCGAAAATTAAAAATATCATTCCGGATGCTTTGTCTTTTCCCTGTATATATATATATATATATATATATATATAACAAAGTCTAGAGCTATAAGTTCAAGGGTTAGGTGTAACAAGTCGATCGGTGTAATATAGCCAGCTGCCGCCGCGCCGCGTGCCTGCGAAGCTGGTGTGTTACGCCGAAAGGCGGTTATACCGGCTATACAGATACAGATATACATACAGTTGGAATTTAAAAGCTTTATAGGTAATGTGCACGCGAAAATAAAGCCTGTTGATGTATATTGCAGTCGCCGCCATTTTGGTGTAATGAATGGATCCAAGATGGCGACATGCCATTTCTCTCTAAATGTGTACAAATAAAACAGCAGATACCAAGATTGCGGACGCAAAATTACGTCACAGTCATGTGACCACACTAACACTGTACCTGGAAGGTGAGCAGGATGTACATCTGCATCAGGCAGAAAAACATCCAACCTAGGGGGCGGATGAATGACGTCAGAGACACCTGGTAACATCCGGGTATCGTCTGGTACTCGGCGTAGATCGCCACGTCAATGGCGGACTGAAGGACGCTGAGAATACCGAAACCTGCGACAGATGAAAAGAAAATCATAATCGTAGCTAGAAAGGTAACATTTGCGAAGCAAATGCATAATGTTTACCTACTAGTATGCATATGGTCTGCTATGTTAATTCTTACTCGAACACATTCATATGATGATATGATGACATTCATATATTATGGTGACAGGAGTCCAAATCCCCCCTGCTATAAAATTGCAACATGATGTAACCCAACACTAGTTACCATGGTGACAGACGTCAGGTTCAGGCCATTGACTTCATTGGCATGGAAAAGAAGAAGAAGAAGAGGAGGACACAAAGCAAAAACAATATGTTTTCCTTCGGTAAATATAAAAAATCCACTTGTTTTCAAATATAATATGTAATTCAATTCCGCACTTTCAGGCTTCATAACATACACTGACTCACTCGATTATAGCGGGTTATACTTAACTTTCTGGAGATGTCAGCCATTCAATACTGGCGCCACGTAGACTTTGCTGTATTTGAATACTTTTGAAGTGATAGGTGTTGAATAAGCTCTACTTACCCACGAGGCCACACTTGAGGAACATGTTGAAGTCGTCCGTGCTGTTCTCCTTGGGACACCTGCCGGCTTTACACCTGGACAGGAACACTGCTCCTAGCCAGACACACCCCGTGATGCACAGGAACGCCAGCAAGCTCTGCAAAAAAACATAAACAAATGACTTTAAACCTGGGTAGGAACACTGCTAAAAACCCGACTTACAATTTAGACGTACTACTGGTATTTATGTTTACCGAAGAAAAACATATTGTTTTTGCTCAGTTTCTTCCTCTTCTTCTCCAATTTGTTAACACTAGCCCTTGTCAACCACCAGCCAGTCATATACATGTACTTGCCCTCCAGTTGCTTTAGGGATTTAGGTTACTAGCCAATCATGTTGCCGCCTTTGGTCAGGAGGCAACGTGATTGGCTGGCAGCATTTTCTTCATCATGGGTGCGTGAGTGCTCTGATTGGCTGATGGCTGACCAGTGCTAACGCAGCGAGGACAAATCACAGCCCGGTACGCAAGGGCCGTTTGACGTACGATGAAGCGATTGGTCTGAGTGGATGGTCCGTACAAGCAATACATGTATCATGGGAAATACGGCGTGCTTACGTCGACATGTGGTTGGACGACGTCCTCCGTGATGAACTCGCTGATTGGCAGAACCGTTCCTATGACAACCATCAGCATGCCGTACATCCCACAGAACCCCAGGGCGTAGTACGTCACGTGATCCACCTGACCTTCACTGAAAAAGAAAAAAAGTCGTCCAGAGTAAATCTCCAAGCAGATGTTCGGGGTAACGGTCGTGACGTTTTCTGACTGCCGAGATTCTTCTGTATGCGCCCTTCACAACTTTCGTGCGACTGTCAGACTATGTTGCGGTCTTCCTTCTGATCTTCATCTGCTTGGAGATTAGTAGCAGTCCAGACTACAGAGCCTGGTAATCTCCAAGCAGATCCTACGGTGGCAAGGCTGTAACCATTGGACAAAAGTATTGACCTTTGAAACTTTTTTTTGAAACTTTTATTGCATGTTCATTCCCCGGAGGGATAAATGCACGGATGTACAGAGTACAATGTACTAGAGAGTACTACAACAATAGTAATAAAGAAAGGCTATCATCAGGTCTAAGGTATACGATGCTAAAAAAAAAAAAGAAATACATTGGTCATCCCCTGTAATCATTAGCCGCCGGTGGCTGATGGCAACTGCCTTGCCACCGTAGGATCTGCTTGGAGATTAAGGCTGGTACAGACGTTAACTCACGCCCCTCCGTCCCCCACAGACCACCGGCTGTCTGACCCGGGACAGATGCAGGGTATCTCCCAATTAACCCCGTGAACAAACAACGCTAAACACACATGTCCTGATGATCCAGCTGTCGGTACGTCACGGCACAGTGTACGGGGTTCTCCCGCTCACGTACACAGGGATATTTTAGGCCATGTTTAAGTGAAGTCACCCAAACCGCGATTCGGGTAACTCACATTCCTCACATCTGGTCCACGTGCCACACACTCCTGTTAAACCGTGTCCGATCACAATTCGCTTGAGCTACATGTATTGCTGTTTGATGATAACACGTAAGGTGGCGTGTTATTAATGTCAGAGGTCAACGACCTGCTTGCTGATGCCCCCCTCCCAGCGTATCTTGGCCGAATGCCGACGTAGTCCCGCCAGAGGCGGTGAAGCTCGCCCTAGAACGGACACATTATTTGACCATCACTGCTCTTTAAGTTGCTGCCACGTAAAAGTTGGTATTGCATGTAAATAAAGAAATATCACAGCGTAATACATGACCAGGCGAGGTTACATTGAAATCACATTGCGTTCAGACGCAAATCGCGATGCGGGAAAACCGATTCGAAACCACCTCTAGAAGTGGTTTGGGATCGAGGCGCTTTCAATGTGATTTGGAGCGTTCAGATGGAGCCACTTGAAACCGGCTTCGGGGGAAACCACATGTAAAGCTTAAGCGCCTTCACTGACTTCACATGAACACGGCCATACACGGGGATATCTTGGAGCTCGTTACGTTCCATTTGTGCAGGGGGCTTGTTTGACCCCACACAGACTTGATTTTAAATGGCTGATATTCGATCGTTCACACGCCTCGTCTAAACGCTTAATTTATTTCTACAAATTATCCCTATTCAGTCTAAAAGACTTTGGGAGACGGCTGGAAAGAGTAGAAATCGGCCAAATAGAGAGGTAGCATGCCGAGGGAGTTGGTCCGTTAGAGATAGAGGCTATCTGTACTTGTAAGGGCTTTGTGGGTGACGACAATTTGTAGTACCGATTTCAGTATATGCAGAGCAATGTTGGTTAGGCCACAGCAAGTAAATTTTATGGATGACATCCTCCACAGATTCCAAATCTAATGCGAGCGGGCGAAAAAAAAACTAGGCGGGCCGAAAAAAACAAGGTTCTTACATTTTGAAATTTTGACTCAATCATTGTACAAATGGTTTTGATTCAGTGGGAACATCACATATACACAGCCAACATCACATATCACTGCATCAAAGTAAGAGACAAAACATAAAACCAGAGGCCTTGTCTTGTCTCCTCTCTTCATAGTTATCTGCCATCCACCTTCCGGCATGGCAACAGACATCTTTGCCTATTTTCGGCATGGTGACCACTGTCAGAAGGCAACAAAATTTCTTGTTTTTTTTCCAAAATCAGGCGAAAATTAATGCGCGCGCTGATGTCATCCATAAAATTACTTGCTGTGGCCTTAGGGTTGCATACGTGCAAAGTGCCGCGCTATTGTTGGCTGTTTTCCAAAGCATACAGCGGAAGCTTCAGTTTTCATGGGAGAATCAACTGTCAAGTGGAGCACTTAGTAGAAAGAAGTAGTTTTCTATTTGTAAGGAAAGAGGAATAAGTTTGATCACAAATAAACTTGATCAACTAGAAAAGCAACATTTGCAAAGCAAATGCATAATGTTTACCTACGGATATGGTGTGCTCTGTTAATTCTCAAACACATTCACATACAATTACTACTAGTACTATATATGGTGACAAGAGCAGAGCAGACCATGAATTTGCAACATGATGTAACCCAACACCAGTCACCATGGTGACAGACGTCAACAAATCATGTCATTGGTCATGTCAGAGGTCACCGTTTGGAGAAGAAGATGAGGAAGCGGAAGAAACTGAGCAAAAACAATATGTTTTCCTTCGGTAAACATAATAACCTCGTCGCGATCATAATATTGTGATGTTTAAGATTGTCCATTGACATACAAACATTACATGCCGCGTTTAATTCACATGAGAACTTTGAAATAATAAACTTAACCATAAAAGATGTGTTGTTCACGTACTCTGGCTATACGCCAAATGAACCTAAGAATAACATTAACCCGGCCATATACTGAACTTGTTGAGAGTCTAGCTGTTTGCAAACTCTCTAAAAAGTTTACCAAGGATCTTCGTAGAAAACGGGAATCGTGCTTTTGGGTCACACAGTCACAAACAACTCCGTAATATCTGTTGGTTCATATTTTTATGTTTACCGAAGGAAAACATATTGTTTTTGCTCCATTTCTTCTTCCTCTTCTTCTTCTTCTGTTCCAAACACTAACCTCTGACCTGGCCAATGGCCTCTTTTGTTGACGTCTGTCACCATAGTAACTGGTGTTGGGTTACATACAATGTTGCAATTTCATAGTAGGCATTTAGGCTCCTGTCACCATATACATGTACGTGTATGTGAATGTGTTTGAGTGAGAATATTAACAGAGCAGAGCATATCCAAAGGTAAACATGATGCATTTGCTTTGCAAATGTTACTTTTCTAGTTTATTATTACATTTCACGGTAAGCTCTTTAAAATTCGGCGACCTGCACTTGCGAATTCGGGCAAGGTTGTTGACTTTGTGACGCCGGCTTCGTGGCTGTCAGTCGCCCGTTCACATGCCCCGGTTTACCACATGTTGGTGTGTTCTATTTCTGAACATTTGTCATGTCTGTTATTATCTACTCTCCAAGCAGAGGTTTGGGTTTTGGGGGTATTTTTTAGTTCAAGTTTCAAGTTTTATTAATAAAATCAGCCTTGCAGCCAGTTCACAAGTCAACCAAACTGAATAACACTGATTTTTACAATTATGTACATAGTAAATATACATACACATTTACATTACAAAACATATACAGACACGCTGACAAATATTTTACAAAGCCACACATGGGCACTGAAGTGAAGTCCAGAGAGTCTTGAAAAGTCATTACTGCAAGGACTCGTTGTACAGGCATATTGCCTTGTGTAAGAAAGGGTTTTTCAGTCTTTTTGTACGGGCCGCTGGTACTGTAAGTGTTTTTAGGCTTTTTATCGGGGTTTCTCTTTTGCACTGAATTTTTTCCCCACCAAACCCAACCCAATCATCATGTCTGTTGACGTGTTTCCACTCTGTATAGTCCGTTGATCTGTCAAACAGACGAAGGCCACGCCAACTCTATTTCATGGATAACGTTGGCGTCTTTTTAATTTTTAGCCGTTAACAAAGAAAAATCTCGTTCAGAAATGGAAACAACTAACAGATAGCCTCTGTATCTCTGTATCTGGCATCTAGAGATCTTCTGGCCCTCTCAAATAAACTCTAATTGTGTTACTGTTACTCAAAGAAGAGAATGCATTTTGTACTACGTGAATTCTTCCGATGAAAAAGAAAACGCTGTATACGCTTGAGCTACGAACCCTGGAAATGCAAATCGTGGACACCAACATGGCGGCCAGTACTTGCTTGCTTCATTCATAACGCTCTGTACTTCACGATCTTTCTTACTTCTTCTAGCCTTGTACATTAGGCTATATTTCTTCACAATCATGCATCAGAATCAAAGTAGCACAAGGCTATATTTCTTCACAATCATGCATCAGAATCAAAGTAGCAGGAGACGTCACCCATAAAATGAAGATATCGCGGCCTGCGGGGCATAAGGCCATAGCAAGTAATTTTTATGGATGACATCATCGCGCGCATTCTCGCCTGATTTTGGAAAAAAAAACAAGAAATTTTGTTGCCTTCTGACAGTGGTCAACATGCCGAAGATGTCTGTTGCCATGCTGGAACATGGATAGCAGATAACTATGAAGAGAGGAGACAAGACAAGGCTATGATTTAATGTTTTGTTTCTTACTTTGATGCAGTGATATGTGATGTTGGCTGTGTATATGTGATGTTCCCACTGAATCAAAACCATTTGTACAATGATTGAGTCAAAATTTTGAAATGTAGGAACCTTGTTTTTTCCGCCCGCCTTGTTTTTTTTCGCCCGCTCGCATTAGATTTGGAGTCTGCGGAGAATGTTATCCATAAAATTCACTTGTTGTGGCCTAAGAGCGGGTTATGGGGTCTGCGTGCCGCCGTGGCTCGGGTTTCAGCCGTCCCACTGCCCGGTTGTCGCCCCAGGCCAACACCGTGTTTTCAGCTGCGCCCCTGAATCAACCTTGAGCGAGTTTGACAACCCATCTTCGAGGTTATTAAACAGAAAATTCTGGGAATTTCAAAAACAATCTATCCGATTCCACACTGACCTAGTCATTTCAAATTCAATAGTCAAACAACATATGGTCTTCATCCGTAAATAATTTCATCAGGTTGGTAAACGACTGAATAGCAAAGTTCTTTTTATCACAACCATTCATTTTTCAAGCCGACGTTTCGATGACCTTCTGTCATCTTCATCAGGGCAATTCTGACTGGTTTACTGTGCACTAACCGTCACTTACTGTGTCAGTGCACTGTAAACCAGTCAGAATTGCCCTGATGAAGATGACAGAAGGTCATCGAAACGTCGGCTAGTGTAAAATAAATGGTTGTGATAAAAAGAACTTTGCTATTCAACATATGGTCTTGTTATTCACTAGATATCAGTCCTATCAAAAGTTACCTGTACCAGTAATCAGTTTTGACAATCGTGGGTTAAGTTTATGAACATAACTTAATGGATTTCAGAAACAATAGATCGTATTCCACATTCAAGTTTTTTTGTCAATAGATTCACAAATATATTTTGCAGGGATTGTCACATTAACACTGATCCGTTTGTTTTCACAGTCACTTTTACGGTCGACTTCACGGAACATAAATTTTGTGGGTCAAGAGCTAAATATAACCTTTCGAGTTTCAACCTTCCCTTTGGAATTTCAATAACTTTATTCGCAAAATCATGCCCGTAGGCTAATTGCTTTTACAATCAAGTATAATACTCGTTGCAATACAGTAACAGGAGACCGGTAACAACTGTCTGGAAAAACTTATACTTCTACTACTGTGCTAGCTATTATGGGGTTCGACTTCTTCTTTGAAGGCAGTGGATAATGAATAGTCCCACATTCTGCATAATTAGTGGGTTTTGTGATCTTCGTAGAAATGCAGTTTTTCGGTGATCTTCTAAATGACGAAAGGATGGAGAAATTGTTGTAACTGTCTGAAATAAACTAAAGTCAAAATTGTCACGCGTTTTGCCTTTTTGCTTTAGACTTTTCCGATTGGGTTCTTGCTTGATCTAGCTTGCTGTCCTAAAAATTGGAGCGTTGCGTTTGTTCACACAGTATGAAGCCTCCCGCCCCCCCCCCCACGCCTCCAGTTTTTATATAGTACATGTACTAGTATGTGGTACTACTACCTAGCAATGACGTGACTGACCAGTGTCTAATATTATAAAATACCAAACAATGGGATAGGGAAAATGGCAATGAAACATGCACCTAGAATCCAGTTTTAGCTCACAGAAAATAGCCTAACAGATGCTATGTACATATGTATATACAAGTTCAATGTACTAGGTCTAGGGAATATGTCCCTGGACTCGAAATGAACAATGAACAGAGGACCGTGGAAAGCATGAGACGTCTGTTACATCCGGAATTCGAGCAGAAGACGGGTCAGGGTCGGTTTGGATCCAACCTGCAAGTCCAAAGCGACCCTGATTCTGGACTTCTGGGTCTAGAGACTAAACCACACGTACGCTACGACAGTATCCACCCTTCTAGTTGCTATACGAACCACCGCGAACTCACCTCGGTCTAAGCGGCGTGGTGACGTCCACGTCCCCCATGCTGCTGCTGTCGTCTGCCGGTGGGGGCGGTCGCGGCGGTGGCGGCGGGTCGGTCCAAGTGTTGTTGTCCCTCATGCGGTCCAGGGTTGAGCCGGGGTCGCGCGGGCTCACCACGGCAGTCTGACCTGGATACAGAACAACAACATTGCCATTGTTGAGAGCCCCAAGTTCACTCATACAACATGAGAATCTACACGTAAGGGAGAGGAGGGACGTAAGAAGTATCGGACAGCAAGAACACTACTCCTACTAGTAGACTGCTTCTCATGGTTTCTGGGGTCTGCCCTGTGTATTGGCCCTGGGGATAGTCTTCCATATAGGCTAATCGTGGTGCGAGAGAACAACAACACGCCCATCCACTGCACTTGGACGTGTTGTGAAAAAAACTACGCCCCGGTGGCAGCATTGGACAAAATCGTTCTAGTTCGCAGCGCAGACTGTAAAATTTGTATTTTTGCTGTGCAAATAAAAATAAGTACAAACCCTCTGAGAGTGTTGACGATAGCCACTCGTCAAAGAACCCACCACTCTTCCTGAAAAAGTTGGTACGCCCGGGGTAGGTGTGTGATGACTAAAACGTATCGAATCCTTGCAATCTGTGCTTCCGACGCGTCCCAAATATGAAACCTGCACTGTGGTCTACTCCATGATCTAGGCACGATGTTTACTAGTTCCGTGATACACACATACACAAACAACCGTGGGACCAGCTCTGTTGTTATCTCGCCCAGACTCACCGCTAAAGCTCTCCCGGTCTCCTACATGCGAATCCAAAACATCTGCTTCGAATCACGCCCAATCAGTAAACCTCAAGATTCTTCTTATCTCTCTTCACAGATCTTTCCGGGATGTAAGGAATCCCTCCAAGATGTCGGTAAACAGCAACTCGAACGTTTTATCTTACACTTTAACACTCTACACTCATACAAAAATTGATAGTAATACAGTTATCTTTGATAAGTGATAGCACAGTGCAGGGTGTCCGAAATTATCTCCGAGCAAGAGGTATGGTTTTCGGATCGATTTTGACCGTCTTTTTGCTTGCTTGTACACCCTCCCCCCCCCCCCACCACACACAACATATCATGACCGAGAACATACAAAACGAGAGACAAAGGCGTACAAAAATGGTCACAAACCACGCATCTGCTTGATTGGAGATTGATCAACACAACGACATTACCTGAGGGCCTGCATGCCCTTTTTCGTAAGGCGTAATCAGGCCTTTTTAGACTTCGTAATTCGTAGGCAGCCTCACAAAATCAACGTAATTCGTAATAGGACATAAGCCGCAAATCGTAAAAGTCGTAATCAGCTCTGAGACTTTAATGTTATTCGTATTAAATCAGCGGTGAAAATTTTGCGTAATTCGTGATGACCCCCCCCCCCCCATGCAGACCCTCTTACCTTTCTTCATCGTCTGAGATCAGTAAACAAAAACTTCCTGAAAACTTCCAAAGGTCTTGCAACACGCGGCGTGATCACAAATCCTTTGGTTCAGGCACTACTGCAACAACAAGGGCACTATAATAGGAACTTCCTCAAATTCCTGAGTAGAAGAGTCGTTCGTCCAATTCCATCCAATTTCCCGAATCTGCGGTACAGTTGCGCCGAACTGTCCGTCATGGTTGTGTGTACATGTCCTCCCGTGTGAAGACTTGGGAAAAGTCACGTTCAGCCGCCTCAGCCACGCCTGTATGTGGCGGGAAATCCCTGAAACTTGGCGGGAAAATTCCAGGCCGGTGGAAGTGACGGATGCAGATGTCAGGGTTCGTTTCGCTCAGACTCAGAGGGATGTTTAATAGGCCACACTGATTTAATTCTATGGATGACGTCCACGCGCGCTTTGATTTTGGCCTGTTCTCAAAAAAGAAAAATACAAAAAAAAAAAAAAAAAAACTAGAAAGGCCGACATTTGCTTTGGAGCAAATTCAGCATGACTTCACCACATTTCACGACATGGCAGGGAAAGAAGGAGAAATACAAGGTAAAACAATTCTTTACATTGATATAAATATAGTAGGAAGTGACAACTATTAATTGCATAATGCAAACTGTTGATTTTCATGATAAAAAGAAGCGTTTATGCCCCACTGGAGCAGGGAAGCTTGACATACCCACCAAAACACTTGAATAAAGTTCATACTGTCAATATGGCATGGCTTTGTGCAGGTGTAATTGAGTTAAAGCAATCAAATCCGAACAGCCAATCAGCAAGGAGAATGGAGGAAAGCTACAGGCCTATTGGTTGCCTTCTTTACATGCCATTCTGATGACTCATACCCAAATGTGGTAACACACTGCTATAGTACATTTTCTATAACACAGCCAAAAAGCTCAAATAAAACCATTCTAAAAGCCTGTATCACAAAAATGAAAAAAAAAAACGCCTAGGGGTATTAGCCCACTCTACCTTCATGCCAAATTTCATGTAGTTATATATACATACGTACATTGCCGATTCATAAATTCTGCAAAAAGCCATGTGTCAGGCTTAGCTATGTACTTCCGCAAATTACCAATGCCAGCTTTGTATTCCTGTGGTTTATTTTTTTTTTTTTGGGGGGGGGGTCATTTTTTTAATTCGCCCGCGCGCACTAGTTTGGGAGCGTCCATAAAATGTCATCCATAAAATTACTTCAGTCTAGCCTTTTACTGTTGGTCGGGGCACGGCCACAGTGGGGCACGGCGTAGCCTGGTAAACCATCCCTCGGGCACGGCATACTCAAGCAAAGCATTGACCCTTTCTCTGACATACGATATATTACTGACAGCCGACCTTTCTGATTATAGCCGTCATCGGGAGTGAGATAATTGAAACCCGCCCCGTAAAAATCGCCCCGAAGCACGGTAATTGACATGAGCGGGAGGGCAACACTCCTAGTGCCGAGAAGATCCCCATGAGTTTAGCCTCCACCAGGCCTTTCTACGGGAATGCGGATCGTTGGCAAAAAAGAGAATAACATGGGCCAAGGTAGTCCGGCCGCGGGGAGGTAGTTTCTTTCCCTAACTGCGCGGCACAGTCAAACCCCAAGGCGGCCAAACTCCCCTGGAAAATACTAGTATAGCCAGCGTAGTTAGTAGTAGTCTGGTAGAGACTACCCTGAGCTTGTATGCCTTGTGGCTTGTACTGGTGCTCCGTTGGTTTGAGATTTGTCAGGTGACAGGTGTACAATGTGCCAGGAGACGTAATACTTCATCTTCTGATGGCATAGGCTTTTTTGCCACGTCTTTTTGTAATGAAAGGCACTTTGGATACTACCTGAAACGTCTGACCTTTTCCAAAATCATATCCAGTAGTGACGGTACTAGTTGCTTGAGTGACTGTTTTTTGGGGGCGCTTTTTGTGGGTATTTGCTACTCTCCAAGCAGAGGTTTGGGTTTTGGGGGTATTTTTAGGCTTTTTTATCGGGGTTTCTCTTTTGCACTGAATTTTTTTCCCACCAAACCCAACTGTTTGGTGGGAAAAAAGAGAAACCCCGATAAAAAAAACACGCTAAAAATACCCCCAAAACCCAAACGTCTGCTTGGAGAGTAGGTATTTGCGTGGAACAGGTTTGACATATGGTGTTTCCAGGCTGCGGTGTCATTGTTATTTTCATTGATGTCGTCTATGAGCAGGATATTTTAAAAATTTACATCTATACTTAATTTGATAATCTATCCGCCGGTCCTAATATCTGCTTGGGGTTGGTAGAGCCTACCGAGGCCACTAAGGATTTGACCGTAACATCTGGATCCCCTGGAAGTGTGTGCGGACTTATTTTTTACGCCCTTGGCCAGTTTTCATTATCACTTCCTCTTATACATCCTGCCGGAAATTGGGGCTTGGGGAGAGAGCCAGAGCCCTAGCCTGGATTCTCAGACTTGTAGCCTCTGCCAGGCTTCTGGAAGTGGCTGGAAAGATTAGAAATTGGCCAAATACTAAATAGACAGATTACTAGTAATATGCCGGGAGTTGGTAAAGAGTACAGTTCGGTAGCCTGGTATATCCAGTCTGATCGTGGTCGGGGCCGAAAGAGCTCTGTCCACCGCCCGCCTCACATAGGTTTCCCGGTGTGTATTTCACGAGAGATTGATTAGCTGTTGGGGGAAACCAAATCCCCAAGCATACTGTCTCTTATTAGCGTAACACTCCTACCGGGACGGTCTGTTGCACTGGGCGGGGGAAGCTATTAGAGCCCCCGGAGACACAACCTGCCTGAACACCCCAATACCCCCAATCACGTAAGACTGGATACCAGGCTAACAGTTCGGGAGCGTCAAACAGTATTCTTTAACGACTCCCCTGGCATCTTTATCGGTGTGAAGTCTAACTTTCTAGCCGCTTCCCAAAGCCCGGTAGAGGCCATGCCTATAGCATCTACCAGGTTTCGGGAGGCGGCTGGAAAGAGTAGAAATCGGCCAAATAGAGAGATAACATGTCAGGGGAGTTTGTCTGCCGGGAGAAATTAAAACATTTTGCCGCACCCGAAGCCTGATCGCTACGATCAAACGGTATAAAAGTAATCCCCTCATCCGCCTCCCGAAGCCTGGTAGAGGCTACATGTCTAGACAACGGCAAGGAACAAAGAACATTGGTAGCCTCCTTTCCAGGCG